TTTGAGAGAACCACCGGACCGATTTGCATGGGGTTTTTTTAAATGAAAGCTTTTGATCTGTAGATTTGCAGGCTGTAGTTGTTTTTTCGATTTTCTCAAATTTTCTTACTTTTATCGACGAGTAAAGTTCAGCTGTTTCGAGCGGTCATCTGGCCGCTACCTGCTTGCCCGTCACTAGATACCCCCCCTAGGGTCTCAGCCACCCCTCCCACAACGTTCTTTCGGCTATCTCCGTTTACTTTCGTGTAGCTTTCCTCCCACCAACCTCAAAGAAGGTTTAGGTCGCATTGTCGTTTGTCACTCACCACCCACATTCCGTCGCAATCTCTCGGCTACTCCGCTTCACCACTTCTTGATAGGCATCCTGGCGGTTTGACTGACCCTGACTTATTAACTGCAGCGGTGCGCACACGTATTGCTAACAACATGTATTGTTATGGACATTTCATTCTTATTTGTTCTTTTCTCTTTCCAACTTTGTTTCAAATTTGCTTGATACTTCGTTTCTTCCTCTCTCTTTATTTTGTTGGTCAGTCGACTACGTTGATCGGCTTTTTGCTATTGAAAGCACATTAAGACTTCATGGATTTTCAATATCATCATTTGATCTTCAGGAATTGCTTCCGATTAACCTGAATCTTCAAGGGTCGGAGCCTGACTCTCCTCCCCCTAAAACTATGATTCCATGATTTCTGCCGCTAACCCAGAGCAACATCAAATTATCTCTGAATTAATTAGTCTCATCCAAAATCCATCTTATACGTGTAATGCGATTTTCATTGATGGTCCAGGAGGATCGGGAAAAACTTTCGTTTAAGAATGTCTTACTGCGTATTGTACAAAGGAAAACTTAGACGTCATCTCCGTTGCTTGGACAGGTATCGCCGCATCGTTGCTACCTAACGGTCGGCCGGTTCATAGCAAATTCAAAATTCCTTCGGTTCTGAATGAGAATTCTGTGTCGAGTCTGACGGTTAGCTCAAGAGAGGCTGAGACTATTCGGAAAACAACGATCATTTTTTGGGGTGAAGCTCCCATGGTTATCACGCATGCTCTGGCATGCATCGACCGACTTCTTAGAGAATGGGTAATGATATCCCTTTTCGAGGAAAAATTGTCGTCTAGGGTGGTGATTTTAGACAGGTTTTACCCGTTGTTCCGTATGCTTCTCGCCAAACATTGGTGCAAAATGCAATCAAGTTCTCACCACTTTGACCTCTTTTCAAAATCAGAAAACTTACTCAAAATATGAGAACTTTGCAAGACGAAGCGGAGTTTGCAAAATTTTAACTCGAAATAGGTGATGGTGTTTACCTTTCTGCTAAAAAAGGCCATGCCGGAATTCATTGATTTACCGACAAGCAGTATTACTGAAACTGATATTATTACTGAAATTTATGGAAAAGATAGCTTTCTCATGTTCGAACGTAGATTTCACAAACTGCACAATTCTGGCCCCTAAAAATAAGCATTGCAATGAAATTAACGACAAGGTTGTTGAAGTTCTTTCAGGTGTCTCTAAAACGTACTTCAGTGTTAACAGGCTCATTGTAGAGGAAGAGGGAGAGGCTCTCAATTTTCCCCTCGAATTCTTGGACAGTCTTAATCTTAGTGGCTTACCACCGCATAAACTCACACTTTTGGAGGGGGTTTTTGTCATGCCTTTAAGAAACCTCAACGTTTTTAAAGGTTTATCGAATGGTGCTCCATTGATCGTCTGGAAACGTTATGAAAATTGTCTTGATTTGCAGGTCATTTCCGGCGAGAAGGCCGGTGAAAGAATTTCACTGCCAAGAATTGATTTGTCACCTGCAGACTCCTCTCTCCCTTTTTCTTTTAAGAGGCGACAATTTCCAATTCGCATTGCGTTCTGCATGACCAACATCAAAGCTAAGGGTCAAACACTGAAGCGAGTCGGCATTTATTTACCCCAAACAGTTTTTGACCATGGTCAACTATATGTTGCACTCTCACGAGCTACATCGTACAAGAATTTTGAAGTCCAAATTCTTCCCAAAGGCAACCGTACAAAAAACATCGTGCACAAAGAGGTGCTTCGATCTTTTATAAATCCCAAAAGCCTCGTAGTCATTAGAAAATTATCAAAAAATAAAAATAAAAACAATTAAAAAATAACACAAAAAAAAGAAAAACTGATAATGCGAGCTTTTTATAACATTTTTCGGTAGAATGGCAGTCTCCACCCTGTAACGCAGAGAGGCAGTTAAATTCCTTGATCTTCTGCCGCAGAATCATCGTCATTATTAAATAGATTCAACTAATCGCTCCGATTCCAAATAAGCTACTGCACCACCATTGCTAGCTGTGGAGGGCGCCCGGAGCGGCTAGTTACGATAAAATTCAGTCCAATTTCCCATCCACATCGTACATATGTATACGTTTAAACCTTCAGTGCTATCTCGTGGACTCGCAAGTCTGGTTAATTCTGAAACCGCGCAAGTGACATTCAATCTCTCTTGACTGCATCTTGTAAAATAATTACATTTATAAAACTTCAGTCTTAAACATCTGCGCTCACACTCGCTTCAATTTACTTCTGTCCAGGATTCTAATTGGATTGGCCCAGACGCATATGGACACTCCTCAAGATACTACTTTGAAGCACACATACCACACGTGATGGAACTGGATAACGTCCCCGAAGTAACGTACGCAGTTACTTTGAAGCATGAATCATCAGTGTCGGATACGAAATCGGCATTTGGCGATGACCACGCCGATCTTGTCCCCCAGCGTGTGAAAGGAGGGAACGGATCTTCTTCATGTGATGGTATTATCTCACCTGGACCGCTCCAAGGCGATTCTCTGTTCGGTCTTTCCGCTCGCGTTAAAGTCGAAGCAGCCGAAAGTTTATCCGACCTCTTGCATACAAGCATTGAAATTAAGGAAGAAGACGCTTCGCATTCCGACCAATCGGAATGTCCAGAAAAAGACAGCGCAAAAGATTCCGGAAATGATTCGCGGCATACCTGCAAACATGTTCCAGTGATTCCCCCCGCTAGAAGTGGGTGCATCTATGGCCAACCTCTTCACCAACCTCAAGATATCCTTGGAATAAAACTGGAATCTAATGAAGAAGCATGTAATAGCAAAAAGTTCAACGAGCCTTCTATTGATAGGACAGTATTTCCGACCAATAGAACCAAAATCCGATACAAACCAGTCAAAATCACCCAACGTTCTGTATCTCCATCGTGTGGAAACCTTCCAAAACAACATATGCGGACGCATAATGGCAAGAAACCGTTAAGTTGCGGTCATTGCTCATCCTCTTTTAGACATAGAAATGCTTTAAAGGAGCATATTCGAACGCATACTGGCGAGAAACCTTTAAGCTGCAGTCATTGCTCTACCTCCTTTAGGCACAAACACCATTTAAATGAACATATTCTAACGCATACTGGCGAGAAACCTTTCAGCTGCAGTCATTGTCCTTCCTCCTTCAGTCTAAGAAGTGCTTTAAAGGTGCATATTCGAACGCACACCGGTGAAAAACCATTCAGCTGCAGTCATTGCTCTACCTCCTTTAGGCAAAAACACCATTTAAATCAACATATTCGAATGCATACTCGCGAGAAACCGTTTAGCTGCAGTCATTGCTCTTCCTCTTTTAGTCAAAAACACCATTTAAATGAACATATTCGAACGCATACTGGCGAGAAACCTTTCAGCTGCAGTCATTGCTCTTCCTCTTTCATTAATAAACACGCTTTAACGGAACATATTCGCACGCATACCGGCGAGAAACCATTCATTTGCAGTCATTGCCCTTCCTCCTTCAGTCAAAGAAGTGCTTTAAAGGTGCATATTCGAACGCACACCGGTGAAAAACCATTCAGCTGCAGTCATTGCTCTACCTCCTTTAGGCAAAAACAACATTTAAATCAACATATTCGAATGCATACTCGCGAGAAACCGTTTAGCTGCAGTCATTGCTCTTCCTCTTTTAGTCAAAAACACCATTTAAATGAACATATTCGAACGCATACTGGCGAGAAACCTTTCAGCTGCAGTCATTGCTCTTCCTCTTTCATTAATAAACACGCTTTAACGGAACATATTCGCACGCATACCGGCGAGAAACCATTCATTTGCAGTCATTGCCCTTCCTCCTTCAGTCAAAGAAGTTCTTTAAAGGTGCATATTCGAACGCACACCGGTGAAAAACCATTCAGCTGCAGTCATTGCTCTTCCTCTTTTAGTCAAAAACACCATTTAAATGTACATATTCTAACGCATACTGGCGAGAAATCTTTCAGCTGCAGTCATTGCCCTTCCTCCTTCAGTCAAAGAAGTGCTTTAAAGGTGCATATTCGAACGCACACCGGTGAAAAACCATTCAGCTGCAGTCATTGCTCTTCCTCTTTTAGTCAAAAACACCATTTAAATGAACATATTCGAACGCATACTGGCGAGAAACCTTTCAGCTGCAGTCATTGCTCTTCCTCTTTCATTAATAAAAAGGCTTTAACGGAACATATTAGCACGCATACCGGCGAGAAACCATTCATTTGCAGTCATTGCTCTTCCTCTTTTAGCCGGAAATATAATTTAAAAGTACATTTCCGGACGCATACTGGCGAGAAACCTTTCAGCTGCAGTCATTGCTCATCCTCTTTTAGATATAGGAATGGTTTAAAGGAGCATATGCAAACGCATACCGGCGAGAAACCTTTCAGCTGCAGTCATTGCTCTTCTTCTTTTAGCCGCAAAGATTATTTGAAGGTACATATTCGAAAGCATACTGGCGAGAAACCTTTCAGCTGTAGTCATTGCTCTTCCTCTTTTAGACATAGAAATGCTTTAAATGAACATATTCGAACTCATACGTCGAGAAACCATTCATTTGCAGTCATTGCTCCTCCTCTTGTAGCCAAATTCCCAATTGAAAGCGACATATCCGGTCGCATTCTGGCGAGAAACCTTTCAGCTGCAGTCATTGCTCTTCCTCTTTTAGCCAAATACCCAATTTAATGTGACATATCCGGTCGCATTCTGGCGAGAAACCTTTCAGCTGCAGTCATTTCTCTTCCTCTTTTAGCCAAAAAGACAAATTGAATGAACATATTCGAACGCATACTGGCGAGGAACCTTTCAGCTGCAGTCTTTGCTCTTCTTCTGTTAGCCGCATAGATCGTTTGACGGTACGTATCCGAACGCATTCTTGCGAGAAACCTTTCAGGTGCAGTCATTGCTCTTCCTCTTTCAGTGACAGACAGTGTTTGAAGCTACATATCCAAAAGCAGACCGGCGAGAAACCTTTCAGTTGCAGTCATTGCTCTTCCTCTTTTAGACATAGAAATGCTCTAACGGAGCATATGCAAACGCATACCGGCGAGAAACCTTTCAGTTGCAGTCATTGCTCTTCCTCTTTTAGACATAGAAATGCTTTAAAGGCGCATATTCGAACGCATACAGGCGAAAAACCTTTCAGCTGTAGTCATTGCTCTTCCTCTTTTAGACATAGAAATGCTTTAAAGGCGCATATTCGAACGCATACAGGCGAAAAACCTTTCAGCTGTAGTCATTGCTCTTCCTCTTTTAGATGTAGAAATGCTTTAATGGTGCATATTCGAACGCACAACGGTAAAAACCATTCAGCTGCAGTCATTGCTCCGCCTGAATGCATCTAAATGTATAATGGCGAGAAACAATTCAGCTGCATCCCTCGCTCCTCGTCTTTTGCTGTCTAATTGTAAGTCAATTTTATGCAACTAATTCGAAAGCATATGTTGAAAAGCTGGTCCTTGCTCTGCGTCGTTTGCTTCCAACCGCCTTATAGCGAAATGCAATACCCTTGCGAAAGCATACGCATGAAATGTCATTTAGTCGCAGTCATTGTCCCGTCTCTTTTGCTGGAAAAACCCGTTTAATAAAATACATGTGATTTTTCCAGTGAGAGACCATTCAATCTCATTGATTGCTCTGCGCCACATTTGGTGGAAAGAATTACAAATATTGTATTTTTGATTTTAAGAATTTGACATGTATTACATCACTTCGAAATCCTTGTAGTATTGTGGAATAATTTTAAAATGCTCATTGGTGTTCTCTTTCCAGATTAGTGTCTTGAAACTGGATATCTCAAATACACGTTTTCAATTAGAAAGGCCCTGAATTGAACGAACACCTCTCGTATCATTCAAACTGAAAACACCATTAAGTATTGTGAATTAGTTTCGAAATATTCAGTGATGTTTTCTTTGCAGAATAGTTTCTTGAACTGAAATTTCTGAAATATAACTTATTAATTTAGAATGGACCTTCATTTAAGAAACACCCTTCGTATCATTCACACTGGAATCCATGTAGTATTCCGTGTTAATTTCGAAATGTTTAGTGTTATTTTTTTTTTTATTTTTACAAAAGTAGTGTCTTGAAATTGAATATCTCCAATAAAAGTTTTCAATTTGGAAACGCCCTTAATTCACCAAACACTTCTCGTACCATTCAAACTCAATCAATTGGCCATACTTTAAAGTCTTTAATATCACCTGTCCCGAATTCAAAGTTAGCTATTNGGGGGGGGGGGGGGGGATGGGTGAATTAAATATTCATATTTCCATGAAAATATTTGTCGCTGATTTCATTGAGTTTTTTCAGAAAGAATCTTACTTTCGTGTGAAGTGGGTATTGTGTTTCTGTTAATGCACTTATGGCCGTAAGAGCACGATGAAGGCCTGTTTTGCGGGACCAATCCGAAAGCTGCCGCGGTACCCGAGAGCAGTAGCGCCCATCTTTTTGGAATCGAGCTTTTTCCAATATTTGACTCGCCCGTTTTATCGGAGCCGACCAGTGGCGTGGCTTGCTTTGCGATGTATCGATTGATCTATCGTTTGAACCTATTGAAAAGCATCGATAAACAGGGTGCTCGCAACGAAGGCTTTAATAATCCATTTTTGACCGTATCTCCCAATGGGGAAATATCGAAAATCGATCATTCACGCACTGATGTAACCATAGGAATCCACTGAAAACCAGTAAGTGCACAAAATTAGTAAACCTCGTTGTATTGCCAAATATAACAGGAGTATGTCGGTAGGTTGTTCCGGGCCCTTTTAAAGCCCTAGACACACACGGCGATTAATCGCCGCGATTGAAAGACGGAAGCCAATGAAGAGCCTTGTTTTCGATATATCGACGTCAATGGATCGAATTCACGGCTCTCCATTGGCTTCCGTCTTTCAATCGCGGCGATTTATTGCCGTGTGTATCTAGGCCTTAAGGGGAGGGGGGGCGCAAGGGGAGTCCGGAGGGCTTCCCCCAGAAAATCTTACGAAGCATTTATTAAGCAGTGAAAGCCAATTTTGACATGATTAATTGACAAATACAAGCGTCTTTCTTTTTCCTTTCCTCCGTTCTCTCCTTCTTTCTTTCTTTCTTCCCTTTCTCTTCCTCTTCTGCTTTTTCTCGGATGAACCTTGTTTGTTATATCTAAGTGTGTTTTAAACGTATCCACGCGAGCATGCAGAAGGAAGCACCTGCTGAGTGCTGCTTTCTTGGCCCTTACGAATGGAAGAAGGCCCTCTTTTTCAAAGTTGAAAATAAAAAATATGCGATTTATTACTATCCCGACACAAACTGAAGGTTCTTTCGACGATTTTTTCTGATCTTACGAAGAAAGGAGGAAGGATTCATTCAGTGAACTTTCCGCTCGGGCGCTGCTCGGTAAAAATAGCCGTTCTCTTCACATTTAGGGCACTCTACTGCCGTGACAGCAAACATAGCCGTAACTCTCGAATTTTCAAACTCCAGTCTCCTTTGTAATTCGTCTTATCTAATTTAGATGAAATTACTGATGCTGCGAAAACTAAAACATTCGTCTTCTTTGTATACGATTGGGACACATAACGATGCCGCACAGTGGGCCAGATCGTGTCCGTAGCGGCGCTTAATTGATAACTCCCGCTAGATCAAGCATATCGTTCAAAACATGATGATTCCTCGGGTAATTTGATCCCCTCTTTCCAAATTTTGTGTCAAAAAAACCGGCAAAAATGTCTAAATGTAGGTTTTGGACGTCGAAAGCTGAAGAAATCGCTCGATAAAAAAGAGGATCTTGTGCTCTTATAAAATGGGGGAAAAACACAATCATCGAACCGGAAAATGCAATCTTATCATCTAACCTTGTAATTCTATTGGAAGGAGAATATTTTCGGTTTTGAAGATCCGAAAAATATTGATTTTTAGCTGCAGAGCATGAGATCAAAGTTGCCCGAAAAATAAGCCTTAAAAAATGAATTTTTCAGAATATTGTAGACTGGGAAAGTGTCATTGCGGTTCGTTGCGCGGTTCTCTCTGGTATTTTTAGAAAGCACATATCCTAGAGATACCATATACCAAAGCACAAACGGTACAAACCGGTACAACCATATTTGTCGGATGCTTATTTGAGGCGACCTTCAATTTCCGCGAAAATCAGATATAGAGGTTTTAAGGAACTACGTTACACAGTAAAGCGGCCAATGAAATATTTCAACACAAATTCATGTTTTAAGGGTTTTTAAGGTTTCTAATAGCATTTCTCCCTCTTTCGATACTTTAGGGTGGAAGGAAGGGGAGGGGGAGGCCGACCAAAATCAGACAGTCAAAAATTTTTTATGGTTAACAATTTTCTTGGGCTCAGTAAATAATGATAATTTTTTTACATCCGTTCACGCATTCAGCCCAAATAGGACTGGTTTTAAACCAATTTGGCAATGAATAGGAAAATTCTACAGTCATATGGCACCTAAGTTTAGAGTGAGTTGACCGTCGCTGACACCAATAAAACTGATGAAATTTCAACTCCTCTGTTGAACTGTACTTTATGCAATCTTGCGTGCTTGAGGATGATATCTTCAAGGGAGAGGAGGATTCTATATCGAATTCTCTTAATTCGATCAAACATTAATACTGGTATGAAAATAACGCAATAACAAGAACCGACTCGTACACAGCTCAGGATACCGTTACTTACCTAAAATAACACATTATTTACACGATGACAATAGCTTTTAGGAGGGGTGTAACACTAAATTAGGCATAGTTGTATTTAAAGAAGTCAATATTTAGTTATCTGAGTGACTTCAATCATACGATAGAACATTACTTTCAGTCTAACAATGAAATTGAAATTTCATCAGTTTTATTGGTGTCAGCGACGGTCAACTCACTCTAAACTTAGGTGCCATATGACTGTAGAATTTTCCTATTCATTGCCAAATTGGTTTAAAACCAGTCCTATTTGGGCTGAATGCGTGAACGGATGTAAAAAAATTATCATTATTTACTGAGCCCAAGAAAATTGTTAACCATAAAAAATTTTTGACTGTCTGATTTTGGTCGGCCTCCCCCTCCCCTTCCTTCCACCCTAAAGTATCGAAAGAGGGAGAAATGCTATTAGAAACCTTAAAAACCCTTAAAACATGAATTTGTGTTGAAATATTTCATTGGCCGCTTTACTGTGTAACGTAGTTCCTTAAAACCTCTATACAGGGTGATCCAAAAGTCCCTTCCACCCCCTCTAACTTTTTACCTAATTGAGGTAAAGATTTGAAACTTGGGGGATATTCCTAGGTCAAAGGGAGCTACTTTTTGGCCCCCCTAAAATTTTCAGGGGGGCCCCCTTTGGGGGGCAACGGCCCCCAACTTTTAATTTTCAAATAGGAAGACCCCCTTTGTGATAGCTCGTTCGAAAGAGCATAAAAAAAGAAAACTTTTCGCGCAAACCCGAAGTCAATATCTCAAACCGTTTCAAAATGGCGGCCGGTTAAAGTTCAAAATGGCCGAAAATTCACACCGGTTATTTGTCGATGGATTTGCGCGAAAATCGGTACGTAGGGGTATTTTGACACGGGAAAAACGAATTTGACGTTAGATTTTCAAAAAAACCGAAATTTCCAAAATGGCCGCCGGTTAAAGTTTAAAATGGCCGAAAATTTTCACCTCGGTTTTTTCCTGATGGATTTGCCTAAAACATGGAATTTAAGAGTATTTTGGCATAAGATAAACAAATTTGAACTTAGATTTCTAAAAAAAATCCATTTTTGGTCATTTTGAACTTTAACCGGCGGCCATTTTGGAAATTTCGGTTTTTTTGAAAATCTAACGTCAAATTCGTTTTTCTCGTGTCAAAATACCCCTGCATACCGATTTTCGCGCAAATCCATCGACAAATAACCGGTGTGAATTTTCGGCCATTTTGAACTTTAACCGGCCGCCATTTTGAAACGGTTTGAGATATTGACTTCGGGTTTGCGCGAAAAGTTTTCTTTTTTTATGCTCTTTCGAACGAGCTATCACAAAGGGGGTCTTCCCATTTGAAAATTAAAAGTTGGGGGCCGTTGCCCCCCAAAGGGGGCCCCCCTGAAAATTTTAGGGGGGCCAAAAAGTAGCTCCCTTTGACCTAGGAATATCCCCCAAGTTTCAAATCTTTACCTCAATTAGGTAAAAAGTTAGAGGGGGTGGAAGGGACTTTTGGATCACCCTGTATCTGATTTTCGCGGAAATTGGAGGTCGCCTCAAATAAGCATCCGACAAATATGGTTGTACCGGTTTGTACCGTTTGTGCTTTGGTATATGGTATCTCTAGGATATGTGCTTTCTAAAAATACCAGAGAGAACCGCGCAACGAACCGCAATGACACTTTCCCAGTCTACAATATTCTGAAAAATTCATTTTTTAAGGCTTATTTTTCGGGCAACTTTGATCTCATGCTCTGCAGCTAAAAATCAATATTTTTCGGATCTGCAAAAGCGAAAATACTCGTCATGCAATGGAGTCTACCAGTCAGATGCATATAATGGTTTGAGGTTCACGAGTGCTTTGTGAAATCAGCGAGTATACAACGCGCGCCTCAGGTTGCAGAAATCTGGGTACACCACATTCCACATGCTGCATATCTATCTACGTAGAAACCGCAGATATAATGAATATTTCAGATATTCCCATATAATTTCGTTATCAGTAGGTATCTAAGCATCGATTAAGATAGCTCTGATGTGGAAAAAAAATGTCGAAAAATTGCATTTCGCGCCGCTACGGACACGATCTGGCCCACAGTGTGCCGTAAGTGCGCTAAAACCGAATTTGTTTGAGACGAAATAGCCGTAAGGAGCATCAGTCCACCGATATCCAACGAGAGCAGTATTTTTAGGCAGACTGGTGCCCTTTTTTGACTTTTTGACGAGGAAACATGTCTGTATGAGGTCTAGTACTCGAAGTATGTCTTATATGGTCCATCAGATTTTGATCACAACGCCTGAATACAACTATGCGTGCTTTGCGGATATCCGCGTTGCATACACGAAATACCGAAGGCGCTCTGACTTTTCCCCAGCCCTGTTGTGAATTGCGATCTTCCATTTCTCTTTTACGAGCTAATTTTGGGTGCTACAAAAATATCCCACTGAATCGTAATAGACTGAGCTTGCTCTCTCGAAACTTCACCTCTGCTCTTACACGCTCGTCGCCATCATGGTCAATGAACCCCGGCGACTCTGCCATATTTTCCGTGGCGCTTCGTTTCTTGGCATCCAAGCCATGACTTGAGCAAGTGGAGATTCTTGAAGGTTAGCTAGCCTTTTTTTCCTCCATTTATACGTATTGGAAACAATCGATTCTTGGTGAAACAACTTGTCTCACCTAGAATTGATATCTTTAGTGAATTAAAATGGAGGGGAAAAAGTGTTGCCCACTTGCAAATCGCCACTGACCATATAGCGATCTAGCTTTGCACAGCGGTTTTGTCGAACGTGTTTTGTTGTCTTGCAATCATTAATATGATTTTTAATCGCGGGGAAAAGACAACTGCTCTGCAAATCGGCGACTGATCATTTGTTGCATTTGCAATACTCCTTTATTAGTGGCGTATTGCGTTTTGCGAGAAATCGATTGATCTACTCTTTAAATCCATGGAAAAGGACCGACTATCAGGATGTTCGGAATTACAACAAACACCTCAAGTTATCGATTCTTAAGCGTATCATTGAATAGGAGAAATGAATAGTCCATGCTTCGTGCCTGGCTACTGTCGTTCACCACAAACCCCTTCTTCTCAAAATCGGCATCCAAAAATACGGGAATGGACATCTGAGAGGTGGAAGGAAAATTGATGGGAGGGGAAGGGGCGAGGAGAAAGTAGACGGTAGGAACGTCGGTTTAGGTCTGACTTCCTAAGGAAAAACGTTACACGACAAAGCAAACGTTGCCGAATTTCCCCCGATAAAATGCGACTTTTCCCAGATACTCGAGAATTTATTTCCCAGCTTTTATAGGATTTCATATGAAATAAAATTTAGTGGAACCGAAAATTTCATGTGGGAACTTTTATCACGGAAAAAGAGCCGTATGCAAAAACGACATTTTTCGCCCCCCAACTAAAACTTATTCAAACTTCGTCTATCAGTTACTAATACTAGAGCGCTTCTTTCCCCAAATTTTCAGACCCCCAAAAAATTTTGGGGGGGCGCTAGGGGGGGCGGAAGTCAAAACCTGTGACCCTCGATATCTTTCAAACGAAACAAGATATTGAGGCCCGGTTTGGACTAAAAATCGTCTAAAATTGAATATTTTAAGATTCCCGAGGTTAAAATCCCAAAATTAAATTTTTAACTTAACTTATGTGCTTTTTTCAGTTTTTGAGGAAAAACAATTTCTTTTAAACAGATAAAACTGAAATTTCACATTTTTTGATTTGAACCAAAACCAGTTTTTTAAATTGTTCGTCTTTTTCCGCATCAAACGAGTGGTCGTATAAGCTGGGGAACCGAACGGTTCCGGAGTTATGATCGATTGAAGTTTCCGCTCAACGCGCGCCGACCGATTTTCGCGCGCTAAAAAGTCGGATTTGACTTTTATTAAATCAGATTTAATGTTCAAACTGAGCAAAATGCATTATTAGGGACTCTTGAGGGTCGCTGAGTCCAGAAATTACAGATACTTCCAAAAAATTCACGTTTTTAAAATTACAGCTCCGTAGCGCTATTTTAGAGACCCACTGAGCGCCGACCGGCCGCTCAGTGGTCCTGTACGGAGCTGTAATTTTAAAAACGTGAATTTTTTGGAAGTATCTGTAATTTCTGGACTCAGCGACCCTCAAGAGTCCCTAATAATGCATTTTGCTCAGTTTGAACATTAAATCTGATTTAATAACAGTCAATTCCGACTTTTTAGCGCGCGAAAATCGGTCGGCGCGCGTTGAGCGGAAACTTCAATCGATCATAACTCCGAAACCGTTCGGTTCTTCAGCTTATACGACCACTCGTTGGATGCGGAAAAAGACGAGCAATTTAAAAAACTGGTCTTGGTTCAAATCGAAAAATGTGAAATTTCAGTTTAATCTGTTTAAAAGAAATTGTTTTTCCTCATAAACTGAAAAAAAGCACATAAGTTAAGTTAAAAATTTAATTTTGGGATTTTGACCTCGGGAATCTTAAAATATTCAATTTTAGACGATTTTTAGTCCAAACCGGGCCTCAATATCTTGTTTCGTTCGAATGATATCGAGGGTCACAGGTTTTGACTTCCGCCCCCCCTAGCGCCCCCCCAAAATTTTTTGGGGGTCTGAAAATTTGGGGAAAGAAGCGCTCCAGTATTAGTAACTGATAGACGAAGTTTGAATAAGTGGGGGGGGGGGGGCGAAAAATGTCGTTTTTGCATACGGCTCTTTGAGGAGATAGGTGCGAGTAGGTTGGTTGGCCCTAAAAGACGGAAAGCCGTTATTGAGCAGGAAGAAATTGCTGATTTTTCACTTTTCAAATTACGTAGGTACATATTTGTACCGAAGTTGATCATATAACCTTCAAATTGACGTTATCCTTTTGAACGACGTTTAAAAAGAATAGGGATGCAATAATCCTCCGAAACGATGTCCAATCGGTCATAAAGTCAATAATCCATTAACCATAATACCTAATGTACCTAACATAATACCTACCATTTGCAATTAAGGGCTCCTATTTTTTACTTGTTCACACATGAACTATCTGTGAAAATAATGGCACCTACGTTTTCTTTAAAATTAGCTGGAACTAATAGTTCCGAATTATATAACAAAATTCAGTCCAATGTCCCATCAGCATTGTGAATATACGTATAAGTCTCAAGTACAACTCCGTCTCCACAAGTCTGGTTAATTTTGAAGCCGCGAAAGTGACATTCATTCTCCTTTTACTTCATCTTGTAAAATAATTACATGTTTAAAACTTCAGTCTTACGTATATGCGCCTGCGCTCACACTCGCTTAAATTTTCCCCTGTCCAGGATTCTTATTGGATTGGCCCGGACAAAAATACTCACCCGCAAGACACATGGACACTCCTCAAGATATTATTTTGACGAAAGCATCGGGCCCAACACCTGTGATGGATCCGCCGGATAACAACCCCGACGGTCGCAACGCACGTACTTTAAAGCATTGCAAATCGGAATCTGACACGAAATCTACATTTGGCGATGACTGCGCCGATCTTGCCCGACAAGCGAAAAGAGAGGACGGTACATCTTCATGTGACGGCGTTATATCACCTGGACCGCTCAAAGGCGATTCCCTGTTCGGTCTCTCCGCCCGCGTAAAAGTCGAAGTAGACGTAAGTTTAACCGACCTGTTGCATACCAGTATTGAAATTAAGGAAGAAGAGACCTCGCAATCCAACCCATCGGAACGCCCAGTAAAACGCAGTGCAAACGATTCCGGAAATGATGTGCGTCATACATGTAATCATGTTCCACTAAGTGGAAGCTTTAATGACCAACCACCCCACCAACTGCAAGATCTCCATGGAATTAAACGGGAATCTAATGTAGAAGAATGTAATAGCAAAAGCGAGCCCCATATTGAAAGAGCAGTATTTCCGACCAATCGAACTGAAATCCGAAACGAACTAGTTAAAAGCACCCAACGTTGTGTATCTTCAACGCGTAAAAACCTTCCGAAACAAAGTATGCGGACGCATCATGGCGTGAAACCTTTCAGTTGCAGCCATTGCTCTTCTTCTTTTGGCCGCAAAGGTCATTTAAAGCGACATATCCTAACGCATACTGGCGAGAAACCTTTCAGCTGCAGTCATTGCTCTTCTTCATTCAGTCAAAGAAGTGCTTTAAAGGTGCATATCCGAACGCACACCGGTGAAAAACCTTTCAGCTGCAGTTTTTGCTCTTCCTCTTTTAGTCAAGGAAATATTTTAAAGAGACATATCCGAACGCATACCGGTGAGAAAGCTTTCAGCTGCAGTCATTGCTCTTCCTCTTTTAGCCTAAAACACAATTTAAAGCGACATATCCTAACGCATACTGGCGAGAGACCTTTCAGTTGCAGCCATTGCTCTTCTTCTTTTGGCCGCAAAGGTCATTTGAAGGTACATATCCGAGCGCATACTAGCGAGAAACGTTTCAGCTGCAGTCATTGCTCTTCCTCTTTTAGTCAAAGCAATGCGTTAAAGGAGCATATTCGAACTCATACTGGCGAGAAACCTTTCAGCTGCAGTTATTGCTCATCCTCTTTTAGCGGAAAACAGTATTTAAAGCGACATATCCTAACGCATACTGGCGAGAAACCTTTCAGCTGCAGTCATTGCTCTTCTTCATTCAGTCAAAGAAGTGCTTTAAAGGTGCATATCCGAACGCACACCGGTGAAAAACCTTTCAGCTGCAGTTTTTGCTCTTCCTCTTTTAGTCAAGGAAATATTTTAAAGAGACATATCCGAACGCATACTGGCGAGAAACCTTTCACCTGCAGTCATTGCTCTGTATGTTTTAGTCAAAAGAATGCTCTAAAGCAGCATATTCGAACCCATACCGGCGAGAAACCTTTCAGCTGCAGTCATTGCTCTACCTCCTTCAGGCGAAAACAACATTTAAAAGTACATTTCCGGACGCATACTGGCGAGAAACCTTTCAGCTGCAGTCATTGCTCTTCCTCTTTTATCCGAAAGGGTGATTTAAAGGTACATATTCGAACGCACACTGGTGAAAAACCATTCAGCTGCAGTCATTGCTCTTCCTCCTTTAGCCGAAAAGATGATTTGAAGGTACATATCCGAACCTACACTGGCGAGCAACCTTTCGAAGTAGCAGTCGTCGCTCCTCCTGTTTTAGTGAAACAGATTATTTGAAGCTACGTACATATCCTAACGCATCCGTTTGAAGAACCATGCAGTTGCAGTTTCTGCCCTTCCTTTTGTTGTCGAAAAAGTAACTCGACGTGACATGGTACGTCGGAGTTCGACAGGTGAAAAATTATTCTGTCACAGTAATTGCTCCTTTTCCTCTCGTGAAAAAACGTCTTTTGGAAAAACATCCGAATGCATACCGGCGAGAAAACATTCAGCTGCAGTCCATGATCCTTGTCTTTTGCTGCCGAAGTCAATTTGAAGCGACTAATTATTTTATTTTCCTTTGCTTTTCTTTTTCATTTTACGTTCGTACAATGAAGGTCCATAATTGGGGCTATGGCAAATGTCAAAGTACAATAGGATTAGTCATTAGTTTGTACTTATACGAGGTCCGTCCGGAATGTATCAAACTTTTTTATTTTTAAAGGAAACTAGATGCTAGGAACTGGCCGACTTGAAACTTTAATCTCTCTCGAAGTACTCTCTTCCAGACACGATGCACTTGTTCCAGCGGTATTTTAACTTATGCAAGTACTCCTGAAAATCCTTCTTTGGGTGGCCATCTGTTGCTGCGTCGTGTTTTCTTCGATATCTTCGACCGTCTAAAATCAAGTGCCTTTCAAAGCGCTTGTGTGTTTGGGGAACAGCCAGAAGTGACCAGGTCTGGACTGAATGGGGGGGGGGGGGGGGGGAGGGACGCGGCCCCTGTGCGATCCCTTGTTCCGCCAAAAATTGTTGGACCAGGCACGAGGTCTTGACGTGGTGGAGCTGAAACATCCGGTCGCCGCTTTCCCAGAACTCAGGACGCTTCCGCCTCACCGCATTCCCGAATCGGCGCAAAGTTTCCGTATGCCTTCCTTTGATGATAGTCTGTCCCTGGGGGTATACTCATGAGTCATGATGCACACCTTCTTGATTTAAAGAAAGAAAAAAAAAAAAAAAAAAAAAAAAAAAAAAAAATTATCAACATGACTTTGACTTGGCTTCGACTGCGGCGCGTCTTCTTAGGACGCTTTTCCCCCTTTGCGATACAAGCTGAAGACCGGCCTTTGGTTTAAGGGTCTTACTCGTAGACCCACTTCTTCGTCTACTATAATGAATGATATGTCAATCCGAGATGAAGCAAAACTTGATGCAAATTCGCTAATCCTCGCAATCGGACATTTTCGCGGGAAATAAAATGCGATGCCACTTGATACACATCGTTTAATCAGGTGCTCGCTGTCAACGCTGTCATGGCGATAGAGATCCTGCTTATGTGAGGAATTTGCGGTTTGACTTTTGATTCTAAGGTAAAAGTTCGCGAGAATAACGATGGTGACACTGGTTTTCACTGAAATCAACTCCCAAGCTCAAAGAAAGCTCTCAAGTTGAGACGCGGGATATCCAACGCTATCATGAGAGTCCACCGCTTCATCAAGACAAACTATGCAAAGATAGGGAGCAAATACATTGACAGGGTTGCCGTGATTACAGTTTAAGAGTCCCCAAATAAGGTGGCAGCCCTGTCAATGTATTTGCTCCCTATCTTCGCATGAAGAGTTTGTCTTGATGTAGAGGTGAACTCTCAGGATAGCGTGGGGTATCCCCTCCATTTGGGCCTCAACTTGAGAGCTTTTTTGAGCTCCGGAATTGATTTCAGAGAAAACCAGTGGCACCGTCGTGTTTCTCGCGAACTTTTACATGAGAATCAATTTTCAATTCGCAAATCCCTCACACATGCAACATCTCCATTGTGTGTGTGCTTTCAGGAGGATATGGACAAAGTCCAAACCAAGTACCAACTTCTTATCTATAATAGATCCCATGATGTAAGAAGAGGCTTGATACTTTCCGGACACACCTTGTATAATCGCCCAATAGTATAGTATTAGTTACTTAAATGAACTATTATTAGTAACTAATAATTTTAATTGGGAACGATTAACTTTAAATTGTCTAATGTAACATTGATGTACACTGTAGTATTAGTTACTTTAATGAATTATTATTAGTAAGGTTTTTTTTGTAACATTTCTAGGAGGAAATATATACAATTATCTTAATGTATGTACATAAGGGTATATAAAAGTAAGAACTGTGTAGTTACTAATTTCTTTAATAATTAGGTATAGTTAAACTTATGACTTGATTTTAAGATTAATCGGGACTCATAAGGATTAGGTGGATGAAATAAGTGAAATTCAAATGTAGTGAGTATTATTAACTCTTAATAGTCAGAATCAGCGTTGGTGACAAGCTCCCATGGCTTCTTCCTTGTGTGTCTTCTAATTTCCTCGTTATCATGTAGAAGATTAGTAACTAATAATGTTAATTAGGAACGATTATAACTTTAAATTGTATAATGTAACATTAAATAGAAGCAATTACAAGAATTTTATTTTATCATCAGTCGCTAGAAATTCATTTATTCAAGGGTATTTTATGATTAAAATACCCTTACAAAAAAAAATCTAAAGCATATGGTGAAAACCCGGCCCTTGCTCTGCGTCGTTAGCTGCCAAACGCTCTATGCGCTCGAAACACTTGCGAATACATACCAATGAGAGACTTCCGGATCATGGTGAATAGAGTTGATCGTTCAGCACTAACTGTCAACGTTGTACTTGGACAATTTTCTCATAACTTCATTTCACTGCACTCGTCGGTAGCACGGCGATTACGGACATAGCCATACTCGTTACATTAAGGGCACTCTGCTACCGTGATAGCGAACAGAGCAGTAATTCGCAAATTTTCGAACTCCAGTTTCTTCTTTAATTCGTCTTATCTAATTGAGATAAAATTACTGATGCTGCTGAAATTACGGCATTCGTCTTCTTCGTTTAGAATGGAGGCACATGAGGAAGCCGTAAGTGCGCAAAAGTTGACGTTGTTTGAGACAAAATAGCCATAAGGAGCATCATTCCAGAGATCCAACGAGAGCAGTCCTTTTAGGTAGAATGGCGTCCTTTGTTGACTGTTTGGCGAGGAAACATGTCTTTACGATGTCTAATACCCGACACGTCTTCAGGTCCAGCGGATTTTGATCATAATGCCTGGATGTAACTAGTCTTGTTCTGCGGATGCACGCGTTGCATACACGGAATTCTGAAGGCACTCTGACTTTTCCTGAGGCTGATGTGAGCCATAAACTATTTCACACCTATGAGTTAATTTTGAAATATTTGGAAGTGTCCAGCGTGTTACGAGTGAAAATTTCATAAGAGAGCATTTCTGCCTTTATATCGTAGAGAGTCCCCACGGGAAATAAAAACACATTGGATGTAGAGTCCTGACTCTTGAAAACATTGACAAGAAAAAATACTCTTGATTCTATCGGATTTTTGCTTGAATCAAAACGAAATCCGCTTAAATTAAGAGGCTTGGTTCTTGATTTAAGCTAGATTCTGATTGAATCAAGAGTACTTTTTCTTGTCGATGTTTTTAAGAGTCTGAACTCTTAATCCAATGTGTTTTTTCTTCCGGTGCCGTTCCTCTAACATTTTCGTAATTGAATTTCCTTAAAAATTCCTCGAATATCTTGTAGATAGAATCATCGAAACAGGTAAAGCAGCATAATACTTCTTAATCGTTTAAAAACGGAACCTATGTGAGAGCCACCACTCAGTGTACGGAAAAAGCACTGATAGAGTCAAAAAGCACGGATTTCGGAAGTTATAGGCACGGAAGTACGGAAAGGGTACGGATTTTCGGTGATGCCGGAATCACACGCTAAATGTTGGAGCTGAATGTGACTTGAATGTAGAAGTCGTCGGCCCGATACCTGAGTTTAGCGCGTGTCGCGCAACATTCAGTAACGAGGCTCGGCGACCATTGGAACCTCGCGGATCTGTCCGAACGATCTGAATCGATTTGACACAAATCTGGATGAACATTACTCGACTTTGAGGCATTTCAGCCGTCAGCTGCCAGATCCAGCGTGCGATTCTGGCATGAGAAGGTACGGAAATTCAATATGTTTGTGATGAACTCTGAAAGATAGCTTTGCGGGTATGCAATTTTCTGAAACAATCTTTTCATTAAGTTCCCGGTTCGATTCCTCGTATTTTTCGGCGCGTTCCTTTGTCATTCCATTATTCCTCTTTTCCAATCCGAATACAGTTAAAAGTGATTGTTAGGTCAGGGATGGACAAGGATAAAGCATAGATTTTTGAGGATCGCCAAAAAAGAAATTTAGAAAAGTAAGACAAATTTACGCAAGAAGCAAGGATTTTGACGACCAGGCACCAGAAGACTTCTTGGTCAGAGAAGAATCAGGGAATGATACAATGAAATTCTGTCAGCCACCCTGTGAATTGCGCGTAATTTCTATTGATGTCACAAAACCGCCGGAGAAAGTAATGTCGTATCTGCCGTGATATCCCAGAGGTTATCGCGTAATGTCTCATTTTTTTTCGAAATCGCAGGAAGTAAAGCACATTTTTGGGAACATGGAAATGAAAAGCGGGCAATCCTTCGGGAATGAACGGTTCCACTAGGAGAACAGCGCATTTTCCACGATCCTTGGATAAATCACGCGTTATTTTTCACTTTTGAACGAGCGGAGACCAAGCGAGCAACTATTCGACCTCCGGAGTAGGTATGTGGTATCATGCGAAATTGAAGGAAAATCATAGCTCTTTGCCTATCACAAATTACGGACGTTATGAATTCTATGCTCGCATAAATGTGAATTTCGCGATGTTGAGCTGTGGCGTGGCGTGCTTTGCGATATATTAACAGATCGGCCATTTAAACCTACGGAAAAGGATCGATGAACAGGGTGTTCGCAGCGAACACCTTAATAATCGATTCTTAACCATGGGTTTAAAATAATGATATAACAATCGATACATCGCAATTCTCGCCACGCCACTGATATTGAGGTGATTATTGTGTGGTCGTCCACGTTATTAATAATCCGCCGCCGGATAATTTGCGTTTGTGTGGCGATTTGAGGGGCACGCGCAACTTCTATTATTATTCTTATTATATGGAGAAATGGCGTATTTCCCGCGGTATGGCACAGAGGAAAATCTATGGCTTTGTAAACTAATTAGTGGCTCATCATGGCACACCACTAAAAGTCGTAAATGAACCAATGATTCTCGGTCTGTGATCCATACTAATGTAGATATACCATCACTGAGGTATTTGTGCTATCAATACATATATGTTTCCTTTACTACTATACGTGGTGGTCCATATGAACCACTAATTGGTTTATAAGTCGTGTAATTTTTTTTCAGTGTGCGGAGATAATCGCTCGTTTTGGGTTTTTTTTTAATACGAGTTCTCATACATGTCTTGTGGTCCATCAGATTTTGATCACAACACAGCGCCTGGATACATTTTGTCTTGTTCTGCGGATGCACGCTTTGCATACAAGGAATACTGAAGGTGCTCTGACTTCTCTCCAGCCCTAATGTAAATTGCGATCTTCCATTTCTCTTTTACGAGCTAATTTTGGGTAGTACAATTTTTCCACTGATACTTCATGTACTGAGCACTGAGCCCCTTCTCTCGAAACTTCATCTCTGCCCTTACGCGCTCGTCGCCATCGTGTTAAATTGACCTCGGCGACTCTATCAGATTGTACGTCGTGCTTCGTTTCTTGGCCTCCAACCCATGAAAAGAGCAAGTGGAGATTCTTGAAAGTCGACAAGCCTCTTTTTCCTACATTTAAATGAATTCAAAACAATCCATTCTTGGTTAGCCAGCTTGTCTTACCCAGAATCCATATCCGTAATGGATTTAAATGGAGGGGAAAAAGTGTTGCCAACTTCCAAAATCGCCACTGGCCATAGCGATCTAGCTTTGCGCAGCGGTTTTGTCGCACTGTGTTTTGTTTTCTTGCAATCATTAATATGATTTTTAACCGCGGGGAAAAGACAACTGCTCTGCAAATCGGCGACTGATCATTCGTTGCATTTAATAAAATACTCCATTAACAGTGGAGTATTGCGTTTCGCAAGAAATCTTGTGATCTACCATGTAACTCTATGGAAATGGACCTATTATCAGGATGTTGGGAATCGCAACAAACACCTCAGTTCTCGATTCTTAAGCATAGCATTGAATAGGAGAAGTTGAAGGTCGATGTTTCGTGCCTCCCAACTGTCGTATACCACAAACCTCTAATGAACCACTCGACAAGGTACGAATTTAAGCAATCTGACACATGTTTCTTTACCAGAATTTCACGTAGTACTCGATTCGTGCTATGAAAATTACTCAAACCAACTCCTAACGAAGATATTAACGTTTTTATTTCACATTGGTTACGAGGAATTTGCACTGCCCGCTCACAAGAAACTCAAAGCTCTACTTGAGTCAAATCGCGCACTACAACGGTTTCAGCAAGCTTCTCAATCGAGCAATGTTCATTTCCCATCATGTGTTGTTCAAACCACAAGAAATTTGCTGTAGCGGAGCCAAACCGTCAAGATTGAGGTTTTCAGATTTTCATTTGGCAGAGACTATCATGATAAACGTTTAGCGCGCGATGTGAATCATGTAGAGCATTGAGTTTTCATGAGCGGGTGGTTTGAATTCACGCATCAAGAATCATTAAATATCTTCGCAAGGAGTTGATTTCGGTAATTTTTGTTGTGCGCATCGTGTTCTACGTGAAATTTTTGGTAAGAAACATGTATCAGAATGCTAAAATTCGTACCTTGTCTAGTGGTCCATTCTCACTATCATCATCTCAGAATACGGTATGGGAATAAATGGACGTATTTATGCGAAAAGGAGATATGTGGAAGTAGAAAGATGGGGTGTGCTCGTTAGTGGTCGGGCCATAAGAATGAATGGGGAATATAAAGCGCCAGTGACGTCAGCGGCGACGACGGGAGCAACAACGCCCGGCAACGCGGGCTTTAACTCATGAGCCCTGTCCACAACGCTCTCTTGCCGTGCCCGCGGCTCATGAGTTAGCATATTTTGGCGCTTGGCTCCTTTTGATTTAATAGAAAATCCCGCTTTTCAATTTTCTCAAAAGGAGCTATATCCTCTTTTACATTGTTTCTTATGACCCAATTAACGAGCACACCCCATCTTTCCACTTGCACATATCTCCTTTTCGCAAAAATACGTCCAAATATCCGAGAGGTGAAAGGAAAATTGATGGGAGGGGTTGGGGCGAGGGAATGTGGACGCGAGGAACATCGGTTCAAGTCTGACTTCCTCGGGAAAAATGTCACACGACGAATCGGACGTTGCCGAGTTTCCCCCAATAAATTATGCCACCTCCGAAATACACAAGAAGATTTTTCCTCGATATTATATAGAGATTGTATTCGAAATAAAATTCAGGAGTATGACCGAAAATTACGGGTGGAAACTTCTTCGTATTTTCTCACGGAAAAATTTGAGGAGTAGGACTTAAGTGGGAGTAGGCTGGTAGGCCCTGAAAGACAACTTTATAAGGCAGGACGAATTTGCTGATTTTTCACTTTTCAAAATACTTTGGTACATATCCGCACCATACTTTATTATGCAACGTTCAGAATTGACGTTATTGCTCTGAATAACGTTATAAAAGAAAGGGTATGCAATGATCCTCCGAAATGTTGTCCAAGCGGTAATAAAATCGATAATTTGAATAAAATTTGCCATTCAGAGCTACTATGTTTTATTCGCTCACATATGAGCTATCCGTGAAATTAACGGCACTTACGCTGTTTCTAAATCGAGTCCGAACTAATATTTCCTAATCGTAATAAAATCCAGTCCAATTTCCCATCCACATCGTACATATACGTTTAAATCTTCGGTGCAATCCCGTGGACTCGCAAGTCTGGTTAATTCTGAAACCGCGCAAGTGACATCCAATCTCTTTTGACTTCATCGTATAAAATAATTACATTTATAAAACTTCAGTCTTAAACATTTGCGCTCACACTCGCTTCAATTTACTTCTGTCCAGGATTCTAATTGGATTGGCCCGGACGCATATGGACACTCCTCAAGATACTACTTTGGAGAATACATACCACGCGTGATGGATCCGGATAACGTCCCCGAAGTAACGTACGCAGGTACTTTGAAGCATGAATCATCAGAGTTGGATACGAAATCGGCATTTGGCGATGACCACGCCGATCTTGTCCCCCAGCGTGTAAAAAGAGAGAACGGATCTTATTCATGTGGTGGCGTTCTCTCACCCGGACCGCTCCAAGGCGATTCTCTGTTCGGTCTTTCCGCTCGCGTTAAAGTCGAAGTAGACGAAAGTTTATCCGACTTGTTGCATACAAGCATTGAAATTAAGGAAGAAGACACTTCGCAATCCGACCAATCGGAATGCCCAGAAAAAGACACCGTAAAAGATTCCGGAAATGACTCGCGGCGTACATGTAATCATGTTCCAGTGATTCCCCCCTCTAGAAGTGGATGCATCAATGGCCAACCTCCTCACCAACCTCAAGATATCCCTGGAATAAAACTGGAATCCAATGGAGGCGCATGTAATAGCAAAACGTTATACGAGCCTCATATTGAAAGGGCAGTATTTCCGACCAATAGAACTAAAATCCGATACAAACCAGTCAAAATCACCCAACGTTCTGTATCTCCATCCTGTGAAAAACTTCCAAAACAACATATGCGGACGCATAATGGCAAGAAACCGTTAAGTTGCGGTCATTGCTCATCCTCTTTTAGACATAAAAATGCTTTAAAGGAGCATATTCGAACGCATACTGCCGAGAAACGTTTTAGCTGTAGTCATTGCCCTTCCTCCTTCAGTCAAAGTAGTACTTTAAAGGAACATTTTCGAACGCATACTGGCGAGAAACCTTTCAGCTGCAGTCATTGCTCTTCCTCTTTTAGCCGAAAACATGTATTAAATCTACATATTCGAACGCATACTGGCGAGAAACCTTTCAGCTGCAGTCATTGCTCTTCCTCTTTTAGCCGAAAGGGTGCTTTAAAGGTACATATTCGAACGCATACTGGCGAGAAACCTTTTAGCTGTAGTCATTGCTCTTCCTCTTTTAAATGTAGACAAAATTTAAAGGAGCATATTCGAACGCACACTGGCGAGAAACCTTTCAGCTGCGGTCATTGCTCTACCTCCTTTAGGCAAAAAAGAGCTTTAAAGGAACATATTCGAACGCATACTGGCGAGAAACCTTTTAGCTGCAGTCATTGCCCTTCCTCCTTCAGTCGAAAAAGAGCTTTAGAGGAACATATTCGAACGCATACTGGCGAGAAACCTTTCAGCTGCAGTCATTGCCCTTCCTCCTTCCGTCAAGGAAGTGCTTTAAAGGAACATATTCGAACGCATACTGGCGAGAATCCTTTTAGCTGCAGTCATTGCCCTTCCTCCTTCAGTCGAAAAAGAGCTTTAGAGGAACATATTCGAACGCATACTGGCGAGAAACCTTTCAGCTGTAGTCATTGCCCTTCCTCCTTCCGTCGAAAAAGAGCTTTAAAAGACCATATTCGAACGCATACCGGCGAGAAACCTTTCAGCTGCAGTCATTGCTCTTCCTCTTTTAGACATAGAAATGCTCTAAAGGAGCATATTCGAACGCATACTGGCGAGAAACCTTTCAGCTGCAGTCATTGCTCTTCCTCTTTCATCCGAAAGGGTGATTTAAAGGTACATATTCGAACGCATACTGGCGAGAAACCTTTCAGCTGCAGTCATTGCTCTTCCTCTTTTATCCGAAAGGGTGCTTTAAATGTACATATCCGAACGCATACTGGCGAGAAACCTTTTCGCTGCAGTCATTGCTCTTCCTCTTTTATCCGAAAGTGTGATTTAAAGGTACATATTCGAACGCATACTGGCGAGAAACCTTTCAGCTGCAGTCATTGCTCTTCCTCTTTTAGCCGCAAAGATCATTTGAAGGTACATATTCGAAAGCATATTGGCGAGATACCTTCTAGCTGCAGTAATTGCTCTTCCTCTTTCGATATAGAAATGCTTTAAAGGAGCATATGCAAACGCATACCGGCGAGAAACCTTTCAGCTACAGTCATTGCTCTTCTTCTTTTAGCCGCAAAGATCATTTGGAGGTACATATTCGAAAGCATACTGGCGAGATACCTTCCAGCTGCAGTAATTGCTCTTCCTCTTTTAGACATAGAAATGCTCTAAAGGAGCATATTCGAACGCATAATGGCGAGAAACCTTTCAGCTGCAGTCATTGCTCTTCCTCTTTTAGACATAGAAATGCTTTAAAGGCGCATATTCGAACGCATACAGGCGAAAAACCTTTCAGCTGTAGTCATCGCTCTTCCTCTTTTAGATGTAGGAATGCTTTAATGGTGCATATTCGAACGCACAACGGTAAAAACCATTCAGCTGCAGTCATTGCTCCGCCTGAATGCATCTGATGTATAATGGCGAGAAACAATTCAGCTGCATCCTACGCTCCTCGTCTTTTGCTGTCTAATTGTAAGTCAATTTTATGCAACTAATTCGAAAGCATATGGTGAAAAGCTGGTCCTTGCTCTGCGTCGTTTGCTGCCAACCGCCTAATAGCGTAATGCAATACCCTTGCGAAAGCATACCCCTGAAATGTTATTCAGTCGCAGTCATTGTCCCGTCTCTTTTGCTGAAAAATACCGTTTAATAAAATTCATGCGATTTTTCCAGTGAGAGACCACTCAATCTCATTGATTGCTCTGCGCCACATTTGGTGAAAAGAATTACAAATATTGTATTTTCGATTTTAAGAATTTGGCTTGTATTACATCACTCCGAAATCCTTGTAGCATTGTGGAATAATTTTAAAATGCTCATTGGTGTTCTCTTTCCAGAATAGTGTCTTGAAACTGGATATCTCAAATACAAGTTATTAATTAGAAAGGCCCTGAATTGAACGAACACCTCTCGTATTATTCAAACTGAAAGCACCATTAAATATTGTGAATCAGTTTCGAAATGTTTAGTAACGTTTTCTTTGCAGAATAGTGCCTTGAAATGAAATTTCTGAATTATAACCTCTCAATTTAGAATGGTCCTTCATTTAAGAATCACCTCGCGTATCATTCACACTGGAATCCATGCAGTATTCCGTGTTAATTTCGAAATGATTAGTGGTTTTATTTTTTATAAAAGTAGTGTCATGAAATCGGATATCTCCAAAAAAAGTTTTCAATTTAGAAACGCCCTTAATTCAACAAACACTTCTCGTATCATTGAAAGTGAATTAAATAGGCCATACTTTTAAGTCTTCAATATCACCTGTTAAACTGAATGTATACTATAATAACATTACCGACAAACAAGTTCAATATGAGAAGTTGTCATCGCGTATTTTCTGCAGGTAAATGATTTTTTCTTCTTTTCGCAGAAGGCGATTGGAAGGATGAGGTTCATCCTTTAGTACCTACGTAGAGATGGACTGCTCCTTTATTTCTTAGCACAGGAAAATTTTGCTGCTTCTTGATTGGGCAGCGTTGACAGACTTTCATGGAGCGCTTTACGGCCATAAGTAAACGAACGCTCACATCGGTCGAAAGGCTTCAAAACTTTCTGCCACTCCTTTTATCGCAAATATACTTCATATGCGCTGTTTTTAGTAACCGTCTCTTTTCGGATCAGTGCCATATGCTGTTTCTAATGAATCAGCCTTTTATCCGAATTCAAAAGTTTTTTTTTTTTTTTTTTTTTTTTTTTTTTTTGTGGAATTAAATATTCATATTTCCATGAGTATATTTGTTGCTGATTTCATTGAGTTTTTTCCAGAAAGAATTTTACTTCCGTGTGAAGTCGATATCGTGTTTATGCACTTATGACCGTAAGAGCACGATGAAGGCCTGTTTTGCGCGACCAATCCAAAAGCTGTCGTGGTACCCGAGACGGGATTGCCACGGTTAGGGAATTCAGGGAAAACCTGGAAAAGTCAGGGTGAAAAAAGGCTCTGAAAAACCTGGAACAGTCAGGGAATTGGACCAAAAACAGCTAAAAGTGAGGGAAAAATTGACACTGTGCACGAGTTGCTCAAAATCTTTCTTTTTTCGGTTTTGAACGCAATATAAATTGCGATGAAGTGGCATATATCGCGATGCATTCAAGAGTAAAATTATGCAGCCGTATTTGGGCGCCAACGCAACAAGCAACGCAAATTGGAATGCCCACTTTTTGTGTGAATTTTTGAAATTTCAACTACTACCCTACTACCGCTGACTAACCACTACTAAATGTTTAATTTTCTTCTTTAAAGTAATTCGAGTGTCTAGGATTATTGCAAACGCAAAGAATCAAAGTTCTTGAAAAAATAAATCATTTGAAGCTCACTGAAAAAGTAGGTATTTGAAAAAGCCTGGGAAGGGAGAGATAAATAGAGAAATGAACACCAGGGAAGACCCTTTTTTTTAGTGTTTCTTCAAAAGTACAGTCGTCCAAAAGTTGTCATTTCTATAACAATTATTGGGTTGCTCGAGAAAGTCAAAAGCATCAAAATTTAAAGAAAAAGTGAACAACGCTTTTTGTATCTCCAAATGTTCTACAATTAATTTCTGACTCCTTAGCTTAAGCGCGTTTCAAATGAGACGCTATATTAGTGCGATGGTAGCTAGCAAGGTGTAAATTTGGCTGTGCGATCATGGCGCGCGTTCTCAAAGGTCAGGGAATTTCTCCATTTTTCGTCAGGGAAAACCTGGAAAAGTCAGGGAAAATCATTTCCAAATTTTTTTGGCAACCCTGCCGAGAGCAGTAGCGCCCATCTTTTTGGAATCGATGTTTTTCCAATATTTGGCTCGCCCGTTTTATCTGAGCCGACCAGTGGCGTGGCGTGCTTTGCGATGTATCGATTGATTTATCGTTTGCACCTATTGAGAAACATCGATAAGCAGGGTACTCGCAACGAAGGCTTTAATAATCCATTTTTGACCGTATCTCCCTATGGGGAAATATCGAAAATCGATCATTCACGCACTGATTTAACCATAGGAATCCACTGAAAACCAGTAAGTGCACAAAATTAGTAAACCTCGTTGTATTGCCAAATATAACAGGAGTATGTCGGTAGGTTGTTCCGGGCCCTTTTAAAGCCCTAGACACACACGGCGATTAATCGCCGCGATTGAAAGACGGAAGTTAATGAAGAGCCTTGTTTTCGATATATCGACGTCAATGGATCGAATTCACGGCTCTCCATTGGCTTCCGTCTTTCAATCGCGGTGATTTATCGACGTGTGTATCTAGGCTTTAAGGGGAGGGGGGCGCAAGGGGAGTCCGGAGGGCTTCCCCCAGAAAATCGTACGAAGCATTTATTCAGCAGTTAAGGCCAATTTTGACATGATTAATTGCCAAATACAAGCGTCTTTCTTCTTCCTTTCCTCCGTTCCCTCCTTCTTTCTTTCTTTCTTCCCTTTCTCTTCCTCTTCTGCTTTTTCTCAGGTGAGCCTTGTTTGTTGTACCTAAGTGTGTTTTAAACGTATCCACGCGAGCATGCAGAAGAAAGCACCTGCTGCTTTCATGGCCCCCACGAATGGAAAAGGGCCCTCTTTTTCAAAGTTGAAAATAAAAATATGCGATTTATTACTATCCCGACACAAACTGAAGGTTCTTTCGATGATTTTTGCTGATCTTAGGAAGAAAGGAGGAAGGATTCATTCAGTGAATTTTTCGCTCGGGCGCTGCTCGGTAAAAATAGCCGTTCTCTTCACATTTAGGGCACTCTACTGCCGTGACAGCAAACACAGCCGTAACTCTCGAATTTTCAAACTCCAGTCTCCTTTGTAATTCGTCGAATCTAATTTAGATGAAATTACTGATGCTGCGAAAACTAAAACATTCGTCTTCTTTGTATACGATTGGGACACATAACGATGCCGTAAGTGCGCTAAAACCGAATTTGTTTGAGACGAAATAGCCGTAAGGAGCATCAGTCCACCGATATCCAACGAGAGCAGTATTTTTAGGCAGACTGGTGCCCTTTTTTGACTTTTTGACGAGGAAACATGTCTGTATGAGGTCTAGTACTCGAAGTATGTCTTATATGGTCCATCAGATTTTGATCACAACGCCTGAATACAACTATGCGTGCTTTGCGGATATCCGCGTTGCATACACGAAATACCGAAGGCGCTCTGACTTTTCCCCAGCCCTGTTGTGAATTGCGATCTTCCATTTCTCTTTTACGAGCTAATTTTGGGTGCTACAAAAATATCCCACTGAATCGTAATAGACTGAGCTTGCTCTCTCGAAACTTCACCTCTGCTCTTACACGCTCGTCGCCATCATGGTCAATGAACCCCGGCGACTCTGCCATATTTTCCGTGGCGCTTCGTTTCTTGGCATCCAAGCCATGACTTGAGCAAGTGGAGATTCTTGAAGGTTAGCTAGCCTTTTTTTCCTCCATTTATACGTATTGGAAACAATCGATTCTTGGTGAAACAACTTGTCTCACCTAGAATTGATATCTTTAGTGAATTAAAATGGAGGGGAAAAAGTGTTGCCCACTTGCAAATCGCCACTGACCATATAGCGATCTAGCTTTGCACAGCGGTTTTGTCGAACGTGTTTTGTTGTCTTGCAATCATTAATATGATTTTTAATCGCGGGGAAAAGACAACTGCTCTGCAAATCGGCGACTGATCATTTGTTGCATTTGCAATACTCCTTTATTAGTGGCGTATTGCGTTTTGCGAGAAATCGATTGATCTACTCTTTAAATCCATGGAAAAGGACCGACTATCAGGATGTTCGGAATTACAACAAACACCTCAAGTTATCGATTCTTAAGCGTATCATTGAATAGGAGAAATGAATAGTCCATGCTTCGTGCCTGGCTACTGTCGTTCACCACAAACCCCTTCTTCTCAAAATCGGCATCCAAAAATACGGGAATGGACATCTGAGAGGTGGAAGGAAAATTGATGGGAGGGGAAGGGGCGAGGAGAAAGTAGACGGTAGGAACGTCGGTTTAGGTCTGACTTCCTAAGGAAAAACGTTACACGACAAAGCAAACGTTGCCGAATTTCCCCCGATAAAATGCGACTTTTCCCAGATACTCGAGAATTTATTTCCCAGCTTTTATAGGATTTCATATGAAATAAAATTTAGTGGAACCGAAAATTTCATGTGGGAACTTTTATCACGGAAAAAGAGCCGTATGCAAAAACGACATTTTTCGCCCCCCAACTAAAACTTATTCAAACTTCGTCTATCAGTTACTAATACTAGAGCGCTTCTTTCCCCAAATTTTCAGACCCCCAAAAAATTTTGGGGGGGCGCTAGGGGGGGCGGAAGTCAAAACCTGTGACCCTCGATATCTTTCAAACGAAACAAGATATTGAGGCCCGGTTTGGACTAAAAATCGTCTAAAATTGAATATTTTAAGATTCCCGAGGTTAAAATCCCAAAATTAAATTTTTAACTTAACTTATGTGCTTTTTTCAGTTTTTGAGGAAAAACAATTTCTTTTAAACAGATAAAACTGAAATTTCACATTTTTTGATTTGAACCAAAACCAGTTTTTTAAATTGTTCGTCTTTTTCCGCATCAAACGAGTGGTCGT